ACACTAATTCACACATCTCAGTTTTATATTCCATCTCACAACTCAATAACCCGAATATTGAAACCCCCGATGAATTCGCCGACTCAGAACCATCCCCATCCAATAATTTTCATAATTCTTCTAATTTTTCTCAACCCCCTTTTCAACCCATATTATCCAATAACCCTGACCCAATCACTCCCACACCCTCTTATGCTTCCCAAGTTACCCCGACCTACTCCTCATACCATTCTGACCAATCATCTCATTCTCCAGACACCCCCCGAATCTCCCCAGAGCTAGATAATTTTATTACCCTTCAACAACAACCCTACCACCTCCATACCCCAACAATAAACCAAATCTCCCCCACAAACAATTCATCCAACCCCCCTACCCCTACACCCTCTTCAAATTATACTGAATCATTAGCACCATCATCCACATCAACTGAATCTTCACACAATACTAATAGAGCTTACCGCACTTTTAAAAGAAAGTTCCCCAACCATCCTTTCCCAGCAAAACCAGGAACAGCCCGTGAATACATCAACCACCCCAAGCATACTAACACAAAAGAATTTTTAGCCATCACCTTACCCTCATTCCCACAATACACCTTAAACACCCCCCACGACACTAACGAAACACGCAACTTTGTAGATGAATACGTTTTAATGCCCACTCTCTCTTGGACCTCATATTATCATTTTACTAACCCTCTTTGCTTACCTTTATCTAACACTCACATCGATATAGAGCGAAATACGGACATGCTATATCGACTCACTACACCACTAACCGCTAGACAATTTACTTACGTTGGATATAAAAAATCACTAAAAACACACACTGCACCTAGAGCTAACGAATATACACTCGAATACTATGATCACAACATCATCAGAGCTAACCAAGATCAATTCTTAGACGACGATCGCTTCGCTAATCCACAAATTACCGAAAAATTTTTCATCAAGACACCATATATATTTACACTAAACATTTTCGACCGAAAGTTTGATCACATTATTTCAGAAGCACTAACAGACACACAAGCATACGAAAGTTTTAAAGAACGCTTCCAAATATTTTCACTAACCTTTCATTTCCTTGCACCACACGAAAGAGATTTACACTGCTCACACGATATTATGTTGCGCACTAAACAAACCCACACATATAGTTATTATCGCTTCATCCAAAATCACTTTGACCTACACACACCCTCTAGACAACCACACCATCGTTTTCAATTCATTAATTCCAAATACACTTCACCATTTTTCCTAAATTTCACATATTGCATTAAAGATACTAACCTTCATGGTATTCTTCGCAATTATGACCCCATAACCCAAATGTACATCTTCTGTCCCATCACCAAGACCTTCAACGCCGAAGAATCCCGACCCTTCCTTATCCCGCACGAGTTTGTACAACCTATAGAAATCCCAATTTTAGAATTCATCCACAACACTAAATTCAATCACAAATTATATAATCTAATCCAAAACACACCTTATGAGTTTGCAGTTGGCACTGAAGAACTAACCACTATTAAGGCACTTCAATTGCTTTGGCCACTGCTTCAGACTAAAAATATCATCCGCATCTTAGCTAAACTACTAGCAACTTCAGAACTAATTCACGACATCTTCCCCCACGGTTTTTTCCCCGACGACTAACAGGTAAGTATGAATTAAATGAATATTACTAACTAATTAAATATTAAAATACTCACCATACTTTATCCATGTTTTCCTTAGATTTTTAGCCTTCATCCGACGATCACCTACAAAAACCACAAAAAAGAAATAAAGATCGCAAATTTCATCAAACAGATTTCAAAAATTCTATTAATCTCTTACACTTATAAATTTATAAATTTAATACCAATGCAGTAAATTCATTTCTAAAATTTTCCCCACAAGCAGTAAATCTAATTATGATGAAAATTTGTAACTTAAAATTCCCCCATAACTAGCAGTAAATTTCCAAATTCTATGCAGTAAATTAATAAAATGCAAATGCAGTACTAACCTTTTGATATTCTCATTTATTCGCACAGAAATTCTATCCACACTCGCACAGCTCGCCCACGAAGAATTGTTTAAAATAATGAATTTCAGTTTCAAGTTTTCACACTCAACAACTCTAACATATAATAACATGTTTCAAACTTTCCTTTAACCCGGTTGGAAAGGAATCATATACTAAACAAAACTAACCAACGCAGCTTACTAAATACCACAAATCATAGAATAACAGCATGACTAAGAAAAGGAAACCAACGGTACCCAAACCGGATTAACCCAGTTTAAAACTGGATAATTTATTCTTTTGAAGACTATTATAAAGTCTAAGAAAGAAATAATAAAACACAAAAAAGTCGAAAGACAAACCCATACCACGAACAATTTGCTTTTTGGAAAAAGGACATAACCAACAAGACATAAGAAAAACCACAACAAACCCAACATAAAACGTTGTCACATAACAGGACCCCTCACAAAAACCGCATGAAATCATACTCCCACTCCTGGCCTAACCCACCAGGAAGGACGTCCTGAGCATGCTCTATAGCCGGCCTAACCCACCGCGCTACATCCACGCTTTGTGACCACACCTCTATTTTTAATAAGAGCTACTCAAGTGTGAGTAACTCTTCAAAATAACCGAACTAAAATAAAAAGCTTTTGTGAAAACAACTAACTAAAATCATAATTAAAAAATATTAAACTAATAAATGTTTTATAAAATGTAAATTACATTATGCAATACATAGATCAGAATACAACACCAAGGACGAACATCTAAAGACAAAACGACCCCACTACACTCGAGAGAGAATGGCCAACCACAATCGATATGCCACTCACAATCACAACTCAAAGGATTTAGAGTACGACTTGACTTCGCAGAAAAGGACTTCATTGAACTAGACCAATGACCACCTCGACGTTCAAGTATACGTACAGATCCGAGTAACCAGGCATCCCCTCCACGCACAATCTCCACGCCATTCCCAAACTAGATCAGACACAAAAGAAGTTCTCCACGCAGAACAGAAAAACCTGACATAGCAAACCATTCTGAAATCAGATTTGAGTTTGTTGCAAAGACTTAGTCGTTGTCACTAGAAGACACAACGTCTTATGTCTCTAACTCCAGCTTCCTGGAACTTCTTTAACAAAGAGGAAACAGAAGAAATATGATGTTCGCCAAACACCAACGTCCATCATCCATCCTTCGAATTGCAGAAGAACTATTCTAAAAAAACTCTGTAAAACCCGGATGGGTGGAACCTGATCTAGACTACATTTTATGATTGGATAATTTAGATATTTTACCAATGTAAAGTATTTAATATTAACCAATCATGATCCATCTAACTAACAACCCACTTATTTGTAAGTGCTGAAGTTACTTGTAATTTCAGCACCAGAGAGATTTGAATTTAACTTAGAAATTAGTTGGACTCTCCCGAGCACTTCAGCAGCCGCAATAAACCAGTATACCCTAGATCTATTGAGCCTAGCAGAGACTAGTTAAACAACCTGAGACTAGATAGTATAAGAGTAAGATTAGGATCGGTATTAGACTAAGAAGTTGCACGAATCTATCCGGCCGAAAATAAGATAGCGTGACGAGCAGACGGTGTACCCTATCCGAAATTACTCTATGAGTTAACCACCTCGGTTCTAACTCACCTTGATCTCCAAATGATTGATAACAACTGTTTGGTTTCTGTCAGCGCTCTTGTGGCACAGTTCTGTAGGGAAGTCTTCTTCAGTATTTGCATGTTCGGTTCCCGTAGATGTTATTATTATTATTTTTTTGAAAACTCATTACTATTTGTATTTTCTTGCTTTTTTCTGTTTTTTTACCTTATTTAAAACTACTTTTGGACATTTTTCGCTTCTGTTTCCGAAGAGCAGCTTTGCATTTGTGTAATATATTGCATCTTCTTTTTAATGATTTCGAGCAATAAAGCACATTGTGAACCAGGATGCTGATGGTCGTTGGTTATAAGGACCAGTCTAAGATTGAGTGATCCTTATAAGTTGTCGAGTTTCTGTACTAAATGCGAGATGTTCTGTTTTCTGCCACCGGATTATTTAAAATGAAATAATGGAATCTTTTCTTTTCGTAATATTACTGAATGAAAGAATGACACTTGTTTAACCCATGTTTTTTCGTTTTTGTTTCTGGAAAAGTCTGGAAAGTTATTCACTCGCAAAGTTGAATTATTGCAGTGTGATTACGCTTCCAATCACGAAAGTGGAAAGCCGCAAAGAAACGTGAATGACATTATTTCGAAAGTTGATTTCAATTTAATGATTTCCCAGCGGAATAAAAAGGTTAGCTTGTGATCCAGTTAGTTTATCGAAAAATCAATCATGGAAGGTTCATAAAGTTCGAAGAGCTTTGAGGAGATGGATTTTTTCTCCTAGAGTTGAAAGAAAAGAACTCATGTTTTTTCGGTCTCCTTCAATTCCTTGACTTTTTCCTAGCTGTCTGTTGGCTGTGTTTTCATGCTGTTTCTTTTAGCTAAAAAGTGATTCGAAACAGCCATTTAATTTGTTTGGTTTGAGTTGAGATGGTTGGTTGGAATTGAAACAATAGTGGCTGTTCAGCAGGGGTCCATATAACATCCTGGCACCAATTTAAGTGGCATTCTAATAGTTAGGCGCAAAGCGCAACATTCAATTAATCCAAGTATTTTCGCAATTGAATCCCTCATCTGCTAAGTTAAGGTTTTTGCTGCGCATTGTCGAATCAATTTACGCAATCGGTTTGTTACTGGGTACTTCTCCAGTTCCCAAATTCCTGAATATGTCCGCAGGATAAGGTTTTGAAGTTTGTTGATTTAGTCACACGGGCATGTTGTAGTATGACCTTGTTATGACCTTTAGGAAAGCGCATTACAGCCACCATCGAGGAGGCTGGCAGAAGACAGTTATTGTCGTGCATACGTAAAGTGTTAATTATATGAAAGTGAGAGTGAGTGTGTTTAGACTTTGTGGAGAATGACCTGAGAGCTTCTGACAGGTTCATGTACTTGCACGGGGAGGGAGATGTGGCAGACAGTCAGACCAGCAACAACCAACACAACAACCCCCTGTAAGTATTCACTACACTTATTAAGTTCATTTGCTAAAAGGCAGGCAAATTTCGTTCTCCAATTAAGAAAGCGGAAGTGGCGCGAAAATACGTGATCAATTTCTCGTTTCGAAATGGGAGTTTCCCAGCCGAATGAAAAGTTTAGCAATTGATACAGTTTTCTTAAATGGGTTTATTTTAAGAAGAAATCGAGCATAGGGTCTATGTTCAGTCCAGTCCACTTTTTTCCTTTGCAAGTCGCTCATTTTAGTTTGCAATTTTGCGCTAAGTCAATCAAAACAATATTTTTTAGGAACTGTTTTTATTTTTTTGGATGCTGTGAGCTCCAACGTAGATATATTTATCCTGCAATCTTTTTTCAAAGGTTTTTGAGTTTAGAAAGCTGGGTTTTTCTCAATTTGCTGTGATTCTCAAAGTGTTTGTGTTTTTTCTTCTTTTTTGCACGCAAAATCAGGTACCAAAAACATTCATGGAGTCATGGGTCGAGTAATATATCATATGAAAGACAATTTGAAACTTCAAAAAAGTTGTCTCATTGTCGCGAAAAATACGTTTCAAAGTTTTGATTTGGTCTAATTTCGAGCGAATAAAGCGAGCGAGCTGGCCTCTTTTGCTAAATTTTAGCCGCTTACAAAAGAATATTTCTGCCTAGTTTCAGCTAAATTCTTTTGGTCTCTTAATTCTTTTTTTTTGTTTTTCTGGTCATCTTTTTTAAAAATTGTTTTGTCCAATTTGCTTTTTAACTTTTAGAGTCAAATATAGGCTTTATTTTTTTTGTCTAGATTATTTTATCACACCCACACCATGGAGAAGAATTGACACTACTTTGAAAAAAACTTTTTTGCTTATTTTGTTCAAGACTAGTCTGAACATTCTGGGCTACTTGCACAGTAGCAGGATATCCTTGTTATTACACAAGCAAAGCTTGTTTGATACTATGAATTCTTTTTTTTTCCAGCCTAAGTCGCAAACTTTTATAAGACGCAAATATTGTTGCGGCAAAATGTGTTCATTTTGAAAGTGTCATTTTGATCAATAACCAGCTATCAAGTACAGCAAATGCTAAGGATATTTACACAGACTATTATTTTACAAACAGTACTTTAGCTTCAAGATATGATGGATCTGTAGCGTAGAGGTAGGGAAGGAGACCCGCAACAAAAAAAGAGGGGGGGGGGGGGGGTTCGAACCTGGGAGTTGTCGGAGGTTTTTAATAAACTTTTTCGTATACTAGTTAAAATGCGTCCGCTCTATAAATTGAGGCATTTTAGTTGGTAAATTTCTTTTTTTTTCAAATTGACTGTTACTGCCAATGCGCCATAATTGGCCTGCGTCACTTAGCATTTATGTAGACCCATAATTGGCGTGCGTCACCTAAGAAATTGTTTTATTCAGTTTTTCACAATAACGTTATTGGTCATATTTTTGCTTGTGTATGCGTAGTGCAACTTTGCCTATGTCTATTTTTGCTGGTTTCATAAAGAAGTTGCCAATCATAAAAAGTTTTTGAATTTCAAAGACCTTACTCAAGAAAAATTTCTCAAGTAATTAGTTTTTGTTTTGTTTCCTTTCATGCTTATCTTTCTTTTTTGAATTTCTTAGCTCAGATATTTGATATTTTTCCTTTCTGACCATTGAAAGTAATAGCAAGGATAGCCGGGTGCGGTGCAAAAAGCACAGAGTTATCTGACATTTTCTTAAAAAAGTACATGAAAGGATACTTTTTTTTTCAAATTAGTGTCGTTTTTGGTTCTTGATGCAATGAAAGGATCTGGCAAAAGACCAGAATTTAGACATATTCGGCAGTTACAGTAAAATAGGCATTTGGGCAACCATTTTTAATTTTTTGCAGTTTTTTTTGAAATTTTGAAGTTTTTTCATTCCAAAGACGGCGCTAAAAACTTCAAAAGAAACAAGACCGCCAAAATTTTAATTTACTTGAGTGAAACTAAAGTTTCACGGCTTGTCCGTTTACAAAAAGCCTGCTCGCTCGCTTTGTTCGAAATTGTACTGAAAGTGGAAATTGTACTGATAAGTTTTTTTCCGAAACTGGGTCGATGAACGTAGTTAAGACAAGACTTTCAAATAAGTGGCAATGTTTTATTTGTTTTTTTTTCAGACTAAAACTTCTTTTGCGGTTTGACTTTTGATTTCTTTTTGACATCTTTTCATTTAATTTGTTAAAAGGAAGACAAATTCCACTATCGAACAGCGAGTATCGAAAGTAGAATTTATTTTCAGATTTCCTGGCGAAATAGAAATTCTCAAATTAGTTAATTTGATTTTAAAAATGTAAGTCATAATTTGTTTTAGAAATCAAAGAGGTTTAAAAGCATCTATTTTTGTCTTAAAGTTTTTGAAAGCTGAGATTTAAAAAAACAAAGCAGTATTTTTTGTTTACTTGTGTTCATTGACTCTTTTCCAAAAGTCGTTCGGCTATGGTTGATTTTTTCTAAATATTAGAATCATGGCTGGAAGGTTTTAATATGATGTATCACTCCACCCATTCCGATGGTTATTTGCTGTCACTGTTTTTAGTTGAAAAAAATTTTAATGGAGTAAAACTAAAGTTTCAAGAAGCTGCAGATATTTCACCACTGAGGGCTTTACGAGGAAGTTATTTTTCTGATACCGTAGAAAGTTGAACAGGAAATGCAGAATGTGTCGTTTGATTTGTGCAAAACATGTGAGCAGCAAAGTAACTGTGTGTGCTCTTATCGTGTGTGTGGATGTGGTTGTAGAGCGCAGCTGATGTCGCACACGTTGTCTGCGGAAGAGGAGGAGGCATTCAACATGTTCCTGTCCCAGATGTCATGAGAGGGGTGGGGTGACAGCAGGAAACAGCAGCACAGGACCATGTCATGTCATCCTTCTTCTCAACACTATCAACCTCAACACACCCACCCACATCACAAGCAGAAACAGAAACAGAAACTACCCCGCAGTCCAATTCAGTCCAACTAATGACCACAGCCTCTGTAACTTAAGCATACACCCAAGTGGAGTGGACGATCAAGAGTGTAGCAAAACGAAAGTGAAAAACGAGTTCTTCTAAACTAGTTGCTCACATTTGACACGAAAAATAATTTTGAAACAAATCCAAATTACTTCATAACAGTAGTTCAGTGTTATTTAACTAATCATTTCAGATGAAAAGAGAACAAAATATTGAAAAATAGCAAATTATTTACAAAAAGACATGTTTTGTTTGGTACACTAGTACAATCATAATGAACTTGAAATCAAGCTTTTTATCAAAGTTTTCTCATGGAAGTAGTCATGTTTGTGAAGCGTTTTTTTTCTCACAAGATGGTTTCAATCTGAAATATTTGTCTGCTCAATCAATCTCTTTGCAATGTGCTATTATTTAACAAATCGGCTGACTGATGTCTGTGGCAACTGAAAACACATTGCGTTTGTTGCCATTGACCGACAATGCTGAACTTACTGTTAACTGAATTGCAAGTATCGGTTTGATCGATACGTTCAATTCTGAATCGTTTTCCTTTCACCCCTAAGGGCTTTCAATCATGAGTTCTAGTTCAGCTACGATTAGACTGATAAATCAATTGTTTGATGAATTAATTATGCTTGCGATTAGGAAGCGTTATAAGTTATAAAAGTTTGTTTGTGCTATAGTCTAGATCAATCCACTGTTCCAATATTTCTCTGAATTTAGCTAGCTTTCTTCTTAGAGACACACACTTAAATGCAATATTTCAATGTCGCTTAATTAAACCTGTAAATACACAAACTACTCAGATTCCAAGTGGCTATTACTTTTTTTTTCTGTTGGAAAAATGAATAAAGCAGTTTCTAAGTAAAGAATGGTCGAAAATGTGGAAACTTAGCGGAATAATATGGCAAGCAATGTGAAAGTGCTTACAAAAATAGTGTTTTCTTGGGGGAGCGAAAGATTAATATCGTCTCTATATCCAGATGAGACATCTTTCTATGTATAATTGAAGAAGAAACCTGGGCATTTAAGTTTTCCTCCTAGTTTCTAAGTTTGTCCTTCCGTGTTAGAATAGATAGATGATTTTCTAAATAGTTTTTTTTTTTGTTATTTGTCATGTCGCCGTGTGTGGACGTGGCAGCCTCGACCTATAAACTGTTGCTATGTTGTGCTTGTACTTTGGCTGTGACGTCTACACTCACTTAACTTGGCTCTTTTCGGTTGTGTTGTACACACTTGAATCATTCTGAAGTAAATCTATCTGATTGGCTCAAGTGTCTCTGAAAAAGAGTGGGCCACAGTTGATGAAATTACGCTGTTTTGACTGCTCCTCTAACTGAAAAGGACTATTATTGTTTGGTATAAATTTGGATACAATGTGAACATTCCCCCTAACCACTCTTTGTACGTTCTTATGCAGTCTACTCTTCTCATCAGAAAATATCATTTTTATTTCAAGTTCTTCATACTATTTTAACCTACAAGTCTATTGAACATTACCTCATAGAGTCCAGTTTCTTCAAACTATTCCCTTTCCTAACAATTGTATGGGAGTGTGTGAACAGTCATTTTGCACCTGAAATCCAAACAAGGTCGCTGTTTTATTTCAATTGGTTTCATTCTGTTAACCTTGAATCTGATGTGAAGTTTCAAGTTTCAGCTTGAAGGGTAATTTGGTGCTCGTTTTAGCTGAAAAAAGGCATGTAAGACATGCGTCAAATCATGCTGTTTGGCTTTGTGCTACTAACAAGTTTTAATGAATACCTGTTCGAAGGCAAAGAGTTGGTTTAGACCATTGTTTTTTTTTGCTGAATGTGTGAAGTTTTTAATTTTGGAAAGATAAATCGATATTTTATTTTCTGTTTGTTAAGCTTGAACTCAACTTGAGAATATAACGACATTGCATAATGATAGCCAAAGGCACGCCCCCCCTCCCCCCCCCCCTTAAACCATGCCACATACATTAAGTGAACATATGCAGATATATATTTATGTGCTCTAATTTGAATATAGAGAATTTCAAGTTATTTAGGACGTTGTTGTGTGGGAGAGTCAGAATTGGTCCATTCGATGTTTCAGCCTATAAGCACTCGATTCTGTGCAGATGCCGTTTCTCTGATTGAACACGTGTGTAATGTCTTATTCCTACTCTCCTCTCGGCTCCCATTCTGTTAGGTTAATGCATGCTTTTCTGTCTAAAATTTATTTTTGGACCAACTCACTTGTTTTCGTTTTATTAAACAATGCACAGGAGGAATCACGAGGCCCAGGATAGTGACAAAATGAGTGTAGAACATTTTTTGTTCAGAGGTTTCCCTATTCGCTTCATCATGGCTACTCAGATTCTATAAAAAACGACCCGATTAATTTTGCTGGCCTCAAAAATGCGCTGACAGAGATACACAGTGATTGCAATTGACTAAGAGGATGTTCTTTCTTTGGGTATCTGGAAATGCTTGTGAGCTCACCACTTTTCACCTTTTGATCTTTTCTAAATACACAGTTTTGAAAACTTACCCTTGATAAAAAAGACATTATTCGGTTTAAAAGACTTTCCAGTGAATTGTTACATTGAACAATACAATTGACAATCCAATTCTCGTGTGGAGATTGTTTCACAGCATATGAATATATATTTTGGTTTTTTCAAGAACGAACTTTTTTAACTGGAAAACTATTTTTTTTCACAATCAATTTTATGTTTTGGTGGTTTGTTTTAATTCGTTTGCTAAATAGAACGCAAACTGCGTTCTCATAAAAATGGAGTTTGGTTTTCAGTTAATTACTTTTTTAGTTGCATGTCAATAAACGAGGGAAGAGGCCGTTGTTGATACGATATACTAGAGTAGTCTAGTTTCTTTTCAACTTCAATTCAATTTCCTTTGCTAAAAGGAAACAAGTTATTCTCTGCTCTTACAAATGTGCGAATGGATCAAAAAACGTGAATAGTTTCTAGATCATTTTAATATGGATTTTCTTAAAATTTTCAAGCGCTATCATAAGTTTATCCGGTTTTCTTAATTTGGAAGAAATGTATGAAAAAAAAAACGGAAGCAATGCAATAGGTGAATAATTTGTAACAACTTTTTTTGCATGCACAAAAGTTTTCGCGTAATGGGTGTAATTTATACAAATAATAAATAATAAATTAAACAGAATGTAAACATAACTTCTGTTGGAAGAAAAAAATATTCATTTTCATATAAACGTTTTTGTCATTTTTATCCATATTACAAAATATTTAAGGCTTGATGCTTTAAATGTAAAAAAGAATTGGGTTAAATCTAGTTATAGACGTAAAATTATTATAAAGAGGATATGCAAATTCAATTACCTAAAGTTTGACCACAGTTTGAAATTTTCACTTTTTAGAGAGAAACGGGTATAAAGTATCCAAAAAATTGGAAGATTTTTCTTTTCAAATATCGGCGCAGTTGTTCAAGAGTATCTGACTTTGATGGCCGTTGTGAATAACAAATGTGTTTCCATGTTTTTGACTCCACGTAAAGAAAAAGGAAACTTTCATCTATTCTAAAGTAGGAAAGATAACGTCATGCGGTCTTCACAGAAACCTTTTATTTTGCAAGCTAATTGCCTGGGGTTTGAACTTGGGTTGCTAAAAATAGGGAAACATCAGATAACTCTCTAGTTGAGTTTGTTTCATATAACCACTTTTTATAATCATCAGTTCTATTTTTTTCTACTTCGATTGAAAACTCAATTGTATTTTCAGTTGTTTTTTTTTGTCATCAATGATAGTCTACAGGATGTTTGCTGCCCTCGACTTATTTGATTCAGTTTTTTCTAATGTTTGATATGGACGTTTTAAGGAGATGAGTTTTTTCGTCTTCACTCTCTTTCGCGCATTAATGCTTTTACATCGGAACAATTCATTTCATTGTTTTCAGTTATGTGACTTCATCACGGTCTTCCTTAAAGGACGATAGTGAAGTGGTTATTCAGCTGCCCATAAGTACATTGAAATCAGTTTGAGACTCGGATAACGCCATTGGATTTTCAGTGTTTTTGGTTTGATCGATTCGAAACTTATGCGCTTTTTCTGAAATTATCAGCTTTATCTCATGAGTGAATACAAGCTTGAAGATTTTTCTTGCATAAGAGGTGGTAACCTTCACTGTTATGTAATAAAATTGTGATTTTGTATGCTGAGTATATTGATCTGTTTTGAATCTGATCTTTTTGCATGCATGTGATATATGCTGTGGGGTAAACTATCTTCTTATATATTAAATGTAACTCCGAATGCGCTATGGACGCAATGTTTTGTCGAATGCAACGTTTAAAAATTCTTAAAGCTTAACGTTTAAGAGAAGGCCAAAAATGTTCTAGAACTTTCAGATTTTTCTAAGTCCGGAATATTCTAGAATTGTTTTTGACAAAAATTCATTTCTGTAGACAAGATGAACTCAATTCATTTTCAAGGCTAGACAGTTCCCGTCCATTTTTCCCGAAATTTGCGTTGTTAGGTTGACTTAATTCTGAAACGAACCAACTAAAAACAGCAGCCTCCTTGCTAGAAAAACTAGGTGTTTGCAAACCGATTTGCACTATGAATTGTTTTGAAATTTTCAAAGTTTCATCGCTTGCATAGCTTTCTTGGAAAAACAAACTTTTTGCTAATCGATTTGCTCTGTAAAAACTTGAGATAATTCAAAGTTTCATTGCCTCAATAGCTTGCTTAGAAAAACTTAAGCTTTTCGCGAACCGATTTTCCCCTTGAAATAACTTGAAAAGTTCAAAAGTTTCATCGCATGAATCGTGTGCTCAGAAAAACGTTGAAATATTTCAAGTTATCTCATAGAGCGAATCGTTTTGCAAAAAGCTTAAGTTTTTAAAGCAAAGCTTTTGCAAACATTTTGTAAGCAAGCTTTTTGCATAATAACTTTAAATATTTTAAGTTTCAAAGCTTTAATAGCTTGCTTAGATAAACTTAAGCTTTTCGCAAAACGATTCGGTTTAGAAAACAACCTGAAATAATTCCAAATTGCATAGCTTTAAAAGCTTGCTGAGAAAATTTTCAATTTTTTCTGAACCGATTCAGTCTATAAATTAACTTGAAATAGTTCAAACTTTCATAGCTCTAAAAGGTTGCTAAGAAAAACTTAACTTTTCGTGAACCGATTTGGTCAGCAAAATAACTTAAAATATTTCAAAATTTTTAAAAGTTTTATAGCTTGACTAGCTGGCGTTGAAAATATAGAAGCTTTTCGCAAACTGAT